AACATAAACATTATCAAAAAAAGTTACAATGTTATATTTCTTTGTACAGTATATAGTTTTATAAGAAAACCTTTAGTAAAAATTTGTAGATAAACTTATTATAAATAATACAAATCAAATTTCACTACGATGGCATGCATAGAATTTGAATTATATCCAGTAAAGTAAACGACTGTAATTTCCACGTTTGGAAGGGGTTGGGGGGAAAGCTCAAGGGGGAGAATCGGGAACTTTTTTGAAAATACACGTCTTAAGTGGTTCCATCAATTATAACGAACTCAGCCTTCCACTATTTAGCTACGAAAAAAGGCAGTTTGCGCGTTTATTGGCTGGGATAGATGCGATGACGCAGCGCAGAAGTGTTCAATTAGCCCGCACGCGCTCTCTTTACCGACGCCCAGCTCTTCACCCGGTCACCTAGATGACTAACCAATAATATATTTGTAAACCTTGAAAAACGTACTAAAACTTTTGTTTGAACCATATTTGCGTATTATTTCAATTTAAAAGTATACATAGGGAAAAACAAAATTTTGCACTCTGAAACAAAGCTTTTAACGAAGTTTAAATTTTATATCTCCCTAAATATTGGTTTTAGAAACATGTTACAGATACAAAAGTTGTAGGAAAACTAATCAGAAATAAAACAAAACAAATTTCAGCTCGATAGCTTACATAGCATTCGAGTTATGATCAATTACGTAAAACACTGCAATTTCTATGTTTGGAGGGGGGTGGGGGGGAAAGCTCAAGGGGTAGAAGTGGGGACTTTTGGGAAAATGCACCTCTCATGTGGTTCTATCACATATAAAAAATCCAGCTTTCCACCATTTAGTTGCGAAAAAGGGTGTTTTTTTGCATTCATTGACTGGGCTAAATGGAATGGACACAGCAATGTTATCCATACTCTCATATGGATGTATTAATTCACTTACATCCCTGCGAGAGGCAAATGCAATTACTTACATTTTATGTATTTTAGTAAAAAAAACTTCTTATGAGTTTAATAAATATAATAGTAAAAAGTTAAGTAGCTTTTAAAATTTATATAAACGATAGCAGAAGTTTGTTTAAATTGTATAACTTGTATAAAACAGAGCTCTCACAATGCAAAATATTGCTTTGTTTACATTGGGCCTGCAATAGTTCAGGGGTTTACCACCAGATGGCATTGGGGTATATCTCTGACGGCTAGTTTAGGAATTAGCTACCCTTACAAATTACCATCTAAAGATTGATGTGGTCAATAAGGATTCAATTAATATGCATTAGCTTAAAACTGACAGAAACGAAGATATATATATATTTATAGAAATATGAAATGAAACATTTTCTCAATTTGAGTAATCCCTAATACACTTTTATTATTTCATGTTTGTGTACGTATGTTGAGAGTTGCTAAGAATATTCACACCAAAACTGCAGCATCGATGGAAGTGTTGAAAACTTGACTAATGATGTAAATTTGAAAGCAACACATTTCTGAACTGAACCTTAGGTGAGTTACATTAACTTTAATCCTCAATTTTATTACAGATAATACTGATATAATTATTGTATTAAATGAATTAACATTCACACAACTTTCAGAAGTCAAATTTTACCTCCTTCCATAATCATTCATGCGTAGCCTAAAATACAATATTGAATGTTATCACAGCCAATAGACCATTGGACTATGCCATAATAGTCTGTGATGTATATTTACAGCATTTATATTAAGTTTACATTAGACCTGCATTTCAGCAGTTAAAATTGTAACAATTGTGTTTCGTATTTTAATAATGCTATTTTCAAACGCCTTCCAGTAAGCATGTTAATAACACTTGAGTTGCTTTTCTATGGTAAATTTAAACTTAACAACACATATTTAACACGACAAATGCAACAAAATGTTTAATAGTGGTGGTACGATTGGCATTTCATGAACAAACAGAACAGACAAACAATCACAAATTTTACAATTAGAACTACTGATAGGTTCTGTAAATCCATATAAGTTTAATTCTTAATATTTCAAAGCGCAGTAGCATTGAAATTATAATATCCTACATAAAGTGTGTCCCCAGTGAAAACTGTGTTAATTTAGAAGATTAAACAGCAGATAGCTACTTGCGTACTGCTAACTTCTTACTGTGTAAATGATTTTCCCAAGATGGCTTTGTAATCGGACATTGCAGTTCTGTTGAATGATCCTCAATTTCAACGGAAACACCTAAATGAACCAGAGAAGAAATATTTCTTGAGCCATCACAGTCACTAGGTGGGTCGACAACTGGGCCTGTAGGCCTACCGTACATACAACGGATTGTTGGGAATGAAATGAGAGGTTTGCCAAACTATACATGGTGTGTATAGCGTCTAGAGAAAGCTTCTTTCAAGAACTTTGAAAATCCTAGAACCTTATGAAAAATTCAAGTTGAACCTTAATTTGTATTCGAAAAATGAAATATATGCGTTTCAATATAGTATCGAGGTATTGTTTTAGTCTAGCACAAAACAAATAGCATACTCTTGGAATAAAATTCGCATTATCAAATTAAATTGAATCAAACCGACAACCTAATATCAGCCTGCTGTTGTTATTTTTACTGCTGTCCATAATTTGATTTGTGTCATTTTAACTGCAGTACTTTTTAACCTAGCCAATTCAGGAAAACATGTTGGAACTATAACTTCTTGTCAATGTCATCACCATAGTGTAGTAAACTCAAGAAACAATAATATAATTTGTACTGTGCTCTCTGAATTTTTGTATTCGTTTCGGTATATAAAAAGTAATTATTCCAATGAAAACTTCACATTTGTTTTCTAATTGACAATTCAAAACCAGCAACGTAAGTATTTCCATCAATTATTTCCATTATTTTGTAATACAATAAGTGAATTACAACATCTTCTTGATTTAATCACAAGATGCGTTTAAAACTAAAGACATTGTCGTCACGACGTTAAGGACATTTTTTTGTAAAGAGATTAATACAAATGTGAAATAAGGAGGTGGATTTGGAATAAATTGAGAGGCAAAACATACACACACCTACGCGGTACCATGATAACTGCACACTTGTGAACAAATATAGAAAAGTAAAATATTCTTTACTGGTGAGGACCTAGTGCTCAAGAGAGTATATATGAGGGTTCTCCTATCTTGCCTGAATTTAACATGTAATTATTATAAATAGACTTTTGGTCAATTGTGTCTTATTTACGCCGGGGGCATTTTTTATGCAATAACTAAAAGAATAAAGAATGCGTGGAAAGGGAAGTGATTCAATCCTCTTAAGGTTTGTTGTGGCATTAGTCAAATTTTACCATTTTTTTTTATTTTGAAGTTGAGTAAGACTAGTTGAGTATTAGGCCAGTTGCTAGTAAATTTTCGAAAAATCTGATCCATCAGACAAAAAAGCTGGATAAAATTAAGCTATTTATTGAATAGTTTAAACGCTTAGATATGTTGCGAAATTAAAGGAAAAAATATTTCCCTACTGATTTGTTTAATTCGCTCTGAATATCTTTATGTGAGGGATGATATCTTGGCAAAGCGCGGGGCTTTAGTCCGCAAGGTCCCAGGTTCAAATTCTTCCAATAACTAATGGGATTTTGCTATGTAATAGAGCCATGGCCATCATGGCCTAGCATAAATTAATAGGTGGAACTTTTCGGGTTCCAAAAGAAATCTAAGTTGCCTAACAGCATTGAGGAAACTAAATTAATGTGTTACAAACCTCAAATCCCAAACCTACAATTTCTTATCTGGCTCTGAAAAATCAACTTCGAATCAAGCTCGAATCCAACAAATCAGAAAACATTAAAATCGATCCAGCCGGTCTCGAGTTACAAAATGTTGAACTAAAACGACTTTGTTATATATATATTATATAATTAAAGATTAAACATTAATAAACTTAGTACCCAAGTAAAATTATTTATTAAAATATTTACTGACTATAGTTTCGGCTCTAAGGCCATTTTCAAAGTAAACAAAAATCAAAATAAGATATGTAAATAAATAAATAACATATGATATTATAAAACTTTTCTAACTTGTAACATAATTTTGTCTTCATTGATTAATTTATATACTATATGATGTGTTGTACTTATTTTCATTAATATTTTCTCAATTTTGTTATTGTTTCATATATTGCTATGTAATAGAGCCATGACCATCATGGCCTAGCATAAATTAATAGGTGGAACTTTTCGAGTTCCAAAAGAAATCTAAGTTGCCTAACAGCATTGAGGAAACTAAATTAATGTGTTACAAACCTCAAATCCCAAACCTACAATTTCTTTTATATGATATATATTAGGATATTTAATAGTTTAGTTACATAATATTAGTAGGATAAGTCACAGAGTGTTTATATAACACTAAATGAACTCTCAGACTCATTAATAGGGCAGTTTCTCTCAGAACTATTATTACAAAGGAAAGGCCGCTCTGGCGCAGTACAGGTCTGATTTGGGTGGTAGATTATAATGCTGGCGCAGTACGGGCCTGCTACCTGGACTCTCTGGCGCAATACGGGCGCCCCGATGGATTTTATCTAAGTGATAATGCCTCAACCCCTAGGTCTAGCCTGAAGTAATGTGACAAACGATTCCAGGATTGTGCCTAGCGTCCTAGGACAAAAAAAAAAAAAAATAAAAAATAAATAAATAAAAATCTATATAGTACCGGTACTTGTAGCAGTAGTAGATATATAGCTATATCAAACCATTCCATATTCTCTCTTTAAGATTTGTTTACAAAACTTAAGTAGTAACATTTGAAAGTGATCTAGCAAGTTTTAGCACAAGCCCAAAACCTACTAAAGCAGTATACTTATTTCTTAATCTAGGAACATCGCAGTAGAGTCTTCTCACCTTATAATAAGGATACTGCACAAAACAACTCATTGTGTTCTAACAACAGGTCGTAGATAGTCTCTAAATCTAGTTTGACAACAATCTAGAGTAGCCTATTGTAATCCCCATTCATTGTAAATACTTACCCTCCCAACCAGACTCTGTATCTTCTTCTGCAGTTTCCTGAAAATGATATGTAAAACTTGAATGACAATTTTGGCAGGGCGGACATTAAATATACAGGGTGTCCCACGTAAGGATGAAATAAAATTGTCTCCGGCTGAATCAACCCCAAGGAATAAAGTAAAAATATTTTTTTCAAATTTAAACATATGTCATGTTATACATAATTTTAAAGGTATTTAATAGACAAACATTTTGGCGGAAACAGAAATAGGCTGTATGGAAATGTGCTATTTTCGAATACAGAGTGATGAAAACGACAGGAGTTTCCGGTACACAACACTTTTCTTAAGACCTAACTTGTTTCCATTGTCTTTTATAATAATCTCACTTGACCCATCATAGCTCTCGTCACTACAAATTTCAGCCACAGTCTTAAAAGATTGGCCAGATGTTTTCAAGGTGTAGACCTATTTCCCGCTTAAGATTTTCATTACGTTATTTGTTTGAATTTTGTTTCATGCGCTGTTGGGTTCCAGTGTCAACGTCGTTTATATAAGTATGTGCGTATTTAGAATCAGAACCTTCTTGTGGAATGACAGGACTTAGTCGGTGGTAAAACATGTCATGGATCTTGAAATTGTAGATCCCATGCTGATACTCTCATTAGTAAATACGCTTCAGAGCTAACCATGGCAAAGTCCTGCTAGGAATTACTTTATTGATGAACCATACTAGTAAACAGATATAAAAATTTAAATATATAATATTCCAGTTTTGCTTTGGAAGTGATAGGTCCCGCAATCCGTGGAAAACCAAAAAGAAGTATTTCAAACAATGTCCATATGTTTAGTTGTAACCAAAGTTAATTGTGTTTGATCCAATGTAAACGCCAAACGGATAGCGCCACCGTGCCGAAAATATAGCCTTTAACTGTTTCTCAAGTGATGTCCTTTCTTAATATTCTGTGGTATATTTTCTCATCAAGGTGAAATACCTTTAGTTTGACACCTCAAATGTTAAATCCCTCCACCCGTTATCAAATTATGACTCCGACAAGAAAACTGCTTGGCTTGCGCAATAGATTCCTAACAAATTCTCTTTCTCATGAATGAAATGATTAGTCTATATAAATAAAATTAGAGTTTTGTCTGTACTTTGCTCAGAATTATATACTTTTAGGTTATTTTTACGTTTTATACATTAAAGAAGCAGAAACGAGTCTTATCTCTATTTCTGTCTGCCTGCCTGTCTGTCTTTCCCTTTGTCTGTAACACTCAAGATGGCATTTTACGCAATCTTCTCCGTGAAAACCAGAGTACCTATCAAGATCCAAGTCATTTTAATGTATTCACTGGATTGGCGAGAGTGTCTTTAGTGATTTAAATATAGCCTCACTACTTTGTAAATAAAATTACGGACGTTCAAAAATGCAGTTTTGTGCGATTTTTGTCAAATTTTCGTTCAATTTTTATCACATAATAATCGTCTATGAAATAACGAACAGCTGTTCGGATCAAGATTACTTTTTCTAGCTGTCAATGATATGTTTACAAATAATGTTGTTTACAAATACCGCAACCATTTCGAATCACGTTTTGAAAGCAAATCCCAACCAAGTGAGATTAAAAACGTTTCCCTTACATAACGGATTTAATTAATCGCAAGTGCAATAATATAGTCTAATAGTGTAACCGTAAATGAAATTAAATAACTAGACATCGTCCAAATCGGAACCAGAAATTCTTTGAGTATAAAATGTTTCTTGAGTTTTGACAACCAGAAAGAAGACCTTGAATCAGTGTTGTATAGGGCTGGACACTGAAATGATCGTCGCCAATAGCTTACAAAAAAGGTTTTCACTCATTGACGGCGCTTCAATGGCGGTTGTGTAAAGTGTAAAGTAAAAAATCACAACTGCAGTGGGTGATTGTAACAGAGGTTTAACAGAGGAAGTGCTAAACTCGCTTTTCCAATGTGTCACTTTCTGTTTCTACTCACCGTGTGATACAATCGCTGGACCATACAGCCAATAGGCCCATAGCTCATATCTTGGGTACGTAAGCCTACATATTTATTCATAACAACCTTTTTGACGACGATCCTTGATACCGGTACTTTTCCATAGAATACATGGCCTACCTACTTAAGAAATATAATTACAAATGACCAAAACCCCAACATTTTGTGATTTTCGTCACATTCCCTTCTAATGTTAATAGATATACTAATCATTGTTTAGAGAATGCGTAATCTATTAAATAACAAAAAGTTGTTTGGGTAAGGTTGTTTTTTTTTTCAAACTGACACCGATAAGTTTACGCTATAACTTTTTACGAGAAAATCCAAAAGCAAGAGATCAATAACCTCGGGACTAGATATTAATGTATTTAATTGGTCGGATGTACTATAGTTCTTAGGTAGGTTCTTACGTAGGTACTGGTTCTTTTCCTTAGAACCGTTGGTAGCTGCTAGAATCATTTTTAGGTAGGTACCAACACATCACTGTAGTTTACAAATTAGTTATCGTTGGTGTTGCACCTTATTTATTAGAGCCGTCCGTATTCAATTTAAGTGATGTCTTAACTCTGTATAAGTTTTGCTTTTTCTGTCTGGATTCCAAATCTTAGCTTACCCGGTATGCTAAGAAAATGATAACCTATTTGAGTAAAACATTTGTTGGGCAAACCATCATGAATTGTTTACGCCTTTATATTGTTTATGTATCAATAGTTCGTGGCCTTTTTGGATTGTTGTGTGTATGTCTGTTGGTAACGCATTAATGTCCTTATTTCTCAGTGTTTCACGGAATGGACAAGAGCACCTTTGATACTGAAAATGTCAACCGGAATAAAGTGTTAAATGGTGAGGTTGAGGTAGTACTTCAAATACGTTTAAGTTAACCGATGTGGAAAGTAACTTTCAATTATAGGCCTACTTTAGGGCTACGCTTCATGGATCTATAAAACATTTTTTAGTTTAATCATTGGACATATGGACCATAACGATCCGGGTGACATTTAATTGCGAAGCATTTATTTTGGCTTGAACTGTCAGATACTGTATTTGCGAAGGTTTATATATAATAGTTTTGCCAGCATATCTGCAAATATGCAAACTAACTGCTGTTCTTAATCTTAATATAAGAAGGTTTCAACTGACTACTATAAGATCCCCGTGCGTAGAACGGGCACACAGCTAGTTTGAGAATAAACTAATTAATTCTAACACATAGGATGGATTGTGTAATGTAATGTGCAGTTACAGTTTGATACAAGTCAGCAAAACTTGAATTTAGACTGGAAACAAATACTAATAAAGTTATAATGAGGAAAATGAATTTCTTATAATTTACAAATGAATCTAATGACAAACTTTTGACATGAAAGTAAACTGATTAACCATAATTTAGACAACCCTGACTTCATTTTGCCCTTATGGCTTTGTTGAGCTTCATTTTGCATATGACGCACCACTATACATACCACAGGAGTCCCCAGACAATCTGTCATTGTTGAGATTCCTCTGTCTAGTTTGGCAATGTGTGGAAGAGTGTTGACTGTGTAGTGTCTTTTGAGGCACCGCTGGTTCTCCCAACTGAACTTGTACATCATGGTAAATGTCAACTCATCATATTCTGAGTCTTTCTGAGTCTGTCTTGGCTGTTCATGTTCATCCAGATAAATGTTTTTATTCACTTGTTTGCAAATGTCTTTACTGTAGTGGAGCCTCCAAACATCAACCAAATATCCTTCTGGTCCATATATAAACACCTTAGCTTCATTGTCATCTTCTTCCTTAGCTTCATTGTCATATTCTTCGCATTTAACACGCAAATTTTTGTCTGATGCCAATGGTATTGTGTGATGCGTTGAACTATGTTTCATATTATTCCCCGGTTCGGTCGTTGTATGGGAGGATTGATACAACCAATCAAATAACTCGTTTTGCTCAGGACTGAACAAGACTGAAAGAGAAATACAGCTTTATTAAAAGTAGCTTGAATATGTTTGAAAAAGTTTAAACTATGTTAGTTTTTCCACTTTTAGGCAAGATATTCTAGAACAAGTGTAATTCAAATCGTTGTGTACAGTTGAAGAGGAACTATTAAAAAAAATATACTCTTACACATTTTAATCAAGGGTCGTTTCAAAAGGATGATCACGTATGTAATTCTTTTGAGTTCATAAACTTGGTCTTTTATGGGGATTTTTGGTTTTACAGTAAAATTAACAAATTTTAAGACAAAATAACAAGAAATTGATAGAGCCAATGAGCTTTAGAAAGGAACAGAGAACAGTTGATTACAAGTAGATTTTAGAAGAAAAATATGAATTGTTTATTGCCAATAAAAATACATATTCATTTTTTTAGCTTAACAATTAATTAATTGTTACTTGTTTTATTGTAAAAAAATATAATGTTGGTGGATTAAGATTTATGGAATAAATCATTGAAAGGTTTAAATTTTAAAGAAAAATACAATATTGAAAACATTGAAAGAATAAAATGTAAATAAGAACCAACAGTTTATTGTTGCATTATAAAATTGTAAAGTACATTTACCATTATAATAGGTGATGAAACAATACAAAATTGAAAAAAAAAACATGTTAGGACTAAGAAACCGGTTTAGTTACAATTTAATTAAAACATTATATCAATTTGAATAGATTTAATTGTTTTTAACAAACCATCGACTAAAAAATAGAATTAGGCATTATTATTAAAATTTAATCATATCTGTGTTTTAGTAGAAATTGGAAAATGCCGAAAATTAGTCGAAAATTACAAAATTTTTTTAAAAGTTTATGGAAACAATTGGACTTAACATTGCTTTTCTGAATGTTTCCTTAATTGTTCCAGCATTGGTACAATACTAATAGTATTATTATACTATCAAACAAAAAGAATAAATATAGACTGTCAAAGGAAGGTTCCGCGATGTGCTGCTAGAGCGTGCTCGGTGCTCGATTCTCTACCGTCATCAGATCCTCGCTGTATGCTACCAGCAGACGCTGCAGCGGTGTCCACCTTACCTTAACTACACAGCACTCCTAGCTGTGGACGCAAGACGCAAGAACCTATGCAACCCGCAGCACTGCTATCAGTCTATTTAATTCTTTGTGTCTATGATACTATCTACTTATTTTACAATCTACAGGTTTATTTATTCGACCAACATTATAGGACATACAGTAGGTACTAACGTCGGTTATCTTGCTAAGAGCAAAGAGAAAGAAACACAGTAGAATTTCACTTTGGTTTAAAAGATTGACCAATCACAGCCATCTAATGACTGGGTCAGGGAACTGGAAGCCTAGCAGCTTTACACTGAGTCCATCGTATCAGACAGTGCCAAAGACCTTCTGGACATCCATGAGGGCAAGGATAGTTGGGCGTTGAAGGAAATTGTTAGTTTAGGGGCATATAACAACCTGCAGAAGCTTATCGTACTTTAATACTTTTATACTTTTCAATGAAATGGTGATAAGGTACATATTTTAAGCCAAGTATGAATGGAGATGAGTGTAGGATGAGTGGCGCGGTCGTGTAGTCTTGTTAGTGACTAAGGCTGACATATTCCTTAGACACAGCAGTTAATTAATAGCCCATACAGCTAATGGCAACTAAGGGACCTACAGTTTATAGTGGAATCCGAACCACATTTTTGCCTTGGTATATACGAATTGGTCTAATTATCAGGATAGTACTGCGGATAATTGAAGTAATCACTCGTGCGGACGTTAATCCACACCAGGGAGTATCGTACGTGTTGACTCCGCAGCAGAAGCCAGCTTGGGTGTTAGAGATGATGCCAAGTGAGTCAAAGTGAATATGGATTTGGGTGGAGAGGACTTTCTCGAAAAGTTTCTTGAATGTGAGGCTACCCTGCCTTCTTGGTGGTAAGCTAACAGCTAAAAGCTAATACCTGCCTGTTAACACTTAGAGGCAGGGCTAATGCTCTCTGAATGGCTGGCCCCGGTAAGTCTACTCATGCTGTTACCTAAGTTTTAAAATAATCTTCTAAATAATAAAATATGGTGATTAAATGAATATTGGTTTACCATGGCCTTTAACGTCATCAGCGATTGTTGAAGCTAAGCTCAGTAGAATCTGTAACAACATAGCTCATTTTAGATTTAATATCCAGTTTGTGAACATTCTGAACAACTGGGTGAATGCAAACATAAACATAAACACTTAGATCACCAAAATAAGCGAAAACGACGAGCGGAAACCTCTCTTTACATTTGAATGGGTTACATCAGAAAACTAAATTCTGCAAACATATGGCCTAAAAGTGCACTTTTTGCACTGAAAGTTTTGCCTGGAATCTCAAAATTTTAGTATTTGGGAGCAGCTTCAAATGTTAAATACAATCAAGTTTAATTCTATTTCAAACACATTCGCAAAAGAAGAATATCGGCAACGACATCGTGACCCTTTGAAATGCATCGGAAATACAAATACATTAACTTGGGTTCTATCTGGCTATCAAAAGTTTTAAATACCCGCCATTTATTTATTTACAGAATGCCATTACATCATAAAATGACAGGACAATTGTCAATACAGTATTAGTTAAAGCTAAATAGTAATACTAAAAATAAAAAATAAATTGTTTTAATTCCTAATCCTACCAATTTCCACATAAAAATTTTTTTTAAAGAATAAAATGTTTTAATGAACAACCATTCTTTAAATAAAAAAAATTAAATCGGCGATTTTTTTTATTATTTTTTACTATGAAATGTTGTACAATTTTGGTTCAATATATTAAAGTGATGCTTCAAATAGTGAATCTATGGATAGTGGGCTTAATTAGGTTCTTGTGTCTAGTGTTATACATATATGATGTGTGTGACTCTGCCCACAGAAAACATACTTGTTTTCTGTGCTCTGCCTGATAATGGACAAATTGAATACCTACTCAAAATAAATAATCAATAATGCTTCTAAAATATACAGGTCGTAAAATGTCAAAACTTGAAAAGCCTGATCCTAGGCCACTCATATTCAATAACAATTATATCTTATTAATCAATCAAAATACCCCGAGTTGTAAACTCAGGAAAACGTTTTTAAACTACTATATCGATATTCAATTCTTCATTGTATTTCATATATAATAATTATTAACACGCTTTTACTATAATTAATTTACTCGACCTTCATAAAACTACCTACCAATTTTTATATTCGAAAATAGATTAACTTTTGAGATAAAAAAACCCCCAAGAAGGGCAATTAGTTGTCCTCGAATTAGCAAAGCTGAACGCTGTTCCGTCTCTACCTTTTGCCCGCGCATGCGCAAAAGCCTCTTTTCCTACCTACTGGCGACTGCACGTCTTTTCGATTACGTTTTTCACTCAAGGACTGTACACAATAATGGAAATACAGTAGAACCTTGATAACAAGACTCTCATGGGAATTATAAAATAAGTCTGGTTGGTTATCAAGGTTGACTTCTTTTTGAGGTTTGCAATAACATGTGTTTAGAGGTAAAATGAATTCAAGGGGATTTGAAAAATACAATCAAGAGTGACTTGTTATGGAGGGTCTTCTTACCGAGTTTCCACTGTAGCTGTTTACATTTTATATTGCAATTTATGAAAACGTAAGTTATAAATATTCACGGAATCAGTAAAAATAAAAATACATTAATTTTTGTGGGTTTAAAAGTACTTTTCACCACACTATGATGTTTTTAGCTGTTTTTCATACATACGTTAATTGGTGGCTGAAAGTTACGTTTTGCTGAACATGCCAGCTAGCTGTATATGCTGTAATCGTCATTTGGGTACCGAGCAGGTTTTTACATCCCTAGGACCGCAAAATCAGCTGCCCGCTTACTTTCTTAAAACATGAATGCATATTAATAGTTATTTACCTTACAAGAATTCACCTAAGTGATGTAAACACGCTCTTGCGTATCGTGTAACGTACAGGATTTTACCTGACCCGACAATATACAGGGGGTTTCGTACAATATTTTTCATTATCCATTTCACTTATCTTCTAACAGTACCTATCGTTCTTTTACAACCAAAAGCTAGGTTAGGAAAATTCTTTAAAGCATAACAATAAAATTCAAGCACACAGCTGATTTCTAGCTTTGAACGTCGTTGGCCCCATAGAGGTATGTTTTGTTGAGCACTCAATGTTATGGGTTTCATTACTTCACCGATTGTGTTTTTGAAACTTTACATCACTCGTGAAGTAAAGAAGGTGTATACATCACGCTTGGGATAGGGAAGTTTAACATGGCGGGTTGGGTAAATACACAACCAGTACCCACAGCATTGCAATAGAATTGTTTTATTGTCACCGCTGCCTAGCTACTGTTTATTATTATTTTTGGTGATTACTCAAATTATTACTTCACATAACCTTAAAGTTGTACTTGTGTTGACAGTGTGCATTATTAGAGGTTATTGTGGTGATTAGTGGTAATAGTGGTATAGTGTGGTGAAAAATAGCGTTCGTACCACGTACCAAAATATACTATTCAATAAGGTTTTAAAAACTAAATGAAATATTAAAATCAAGATGTTTGCACTATTTGTTGTGATCTCCAACTAAATAAAATTTTTATTGAATCTGTGGAGAAACTCAATTTTCAAGGAACAATACATTTATTCCTTTTATCTATTAAATATAGGGAATGGCGCCTGCCTCTTTCGATATACTTACCGTTTCTGATAAGTTTCAAGAACGATCGTCAGAGAGGTTCTTGCTATTTGTGTCAGACATATGATTCTCGTCACTGAGACAAAACGATTGCATCATGTAAGCTATTACAACATGTTGCAATCATCCAATTAGAGATGAATATGTTGCTACAAATAATCAGGGTTCAGGTTTTTGGTGGATTATGTAACTTATAACAATTATTTTATGTGCTCAACAAAACACACAAACCTAAAACAAACTATACAGGGTGATTGATATAAGTGTGCCAGCCGTTTTATTCGCAAACTATAAGAGATATAAAAAAAAGTTAAATGGTAAGTGCCTTGGATTTTAGCGAATTTCCCTATAGGGAAGTAGCTATTACCGTAGGTGGCATGGTAAGACCTAGGCCCGGGACCGATTTACTTTTTCATTTTGATGTCCCCAGAGGCCAAAAACACCATTCGTTCAAATTTTTATATATGTATATATATATATATATATATATATATATATATATATATATGTGTCCGTGAACACGATAACTTGAGTAATTTTTATCCGATTTTCATGAAATTTGGTTTGAAGGTGTAAGGCAGGATAAACTTGAATGAGTTCGCGAACCAGCATGATCAGACCATGGGAACGGGGTTTTACGGGGGGTTTTATGGGGTAAAAATTGGTTTTTCTAATTTTTGACCCTCCAAACGCAAAATTTCCCAATTTCTCTTCAGACCTTCTTAAAGAGCTCAAAAAAACAAATAATTTAGTATATCAAAGTGTTTTTGTACTATTATTAGTTACGGAGAAAATTCAAATAATTGTTATTTTAAAATTCCCATGTTATTCTTATGGGGAATATTGTAAAATGTTGTAGTCTGCTTGTTTATGGATATATTTTGATCAAACTTGGTAAATTTATTCATTTTATACTAAGTTATTAATATTTCTCTAAAAAAAAACACACTTTTTATCCTCCCTGTAGCAGCAAGCCTATGTACTCATTAAAATTAATGTTAATTAAATACATTTAATTGAAAATCAATTCAGGCAACTGGAAATTCGCTTAGTTGGCAGGTTTGCTGCGGCTGGGGTATTTTATTTAAAAAATTGTAGTCAAGTCAAAAAAATTATTTTAGCCACAATTTTTCCAATATGGCTGCCAACTTTGATTTTTCTTACGGAACATCCTGTATTTTATGATGTATTCTGGTAGAAAATGTGATTTTAAGACGATTTTATTCTTGTGATTTTTTCATAAACCTAACCGTTTCAAAGACAATAATGGTTAAAGTTTTGAAATTTTTGCATGAGAAAGAGTTTCGATACAGGCCTAAGCAAGAATGCCAGCTGTTTTATTCGAAAACCATTCAAAATTTCACAACTTAAACCATTATTATCTTTAAAACGGTTAGGTTTATGAAAAAAATCACAAGAATAAAATCGTCTTAAAATTACATTTTCTACCAGAATACATCATAAAATACAGGGTGTTCCATAAGAAAAATCAAAGTTGGCGGCCATATTGGAAAAATGGCGGCTAAAATAATTTTTTCGACTTAACAACAATTTTTTAAATAAAAAGGCCAAGGCACTTGTTGAATTGTTTTATTGTCACCGCTGCCTAGCCACTGTTTATTATTATTTTTGGTGATTACTCAAATTATTACTTCACATAACCTTAAAGTTGTACTTGTGTTGACAGTGTGCATTATTAGAGGTTATTGTGGTGATTAGTGGTAATAGTGGTATAGTGTGGTGAAAAATAGCGTTCGTACCACGTACCAAAATATACTATTCAATAAGGTTTTAAAAACTAAATGAAATATTAAAATCAAGATGTTTGCACTATTTGTTGTGATCTCCAACTAAATAAAATTTTTATTGAATCTGTGGAGAAACTCAATTTTCAAGGAACAATACATTTATTCCTTTTATCTATTAAATATAGGGAATGGCGCCTGCCTCTTTCGATATACTTACCGTTTCTGATAAGTTTCAAGAACGATCGTCAGAGAGGTTCTTGCTATTTGTGTCAGACATATGATTCTCGTCACTGAGACAAAACGATTGCATCATGTAAGCTATTACAACATGTTGCAATCATCCAATTAGAGATGAATATGTTGCTACAAATAATCAGGGTTCAGGTTTTTGGTGGATTATGTAACTTATAACAATTATTTTATGTGCTCAACAAAACACACAAACCTAAAACAAACTATATATTGTAAGGCAACAAAATAATTGTATTAATATAAAGCAATATCCAGAAGTAGGACAACGAATTCTTTAAACAAACTTACAGTTCCATTATAATTAAATTAGAAATATGAATAGTATATTGTTCGATCATGTGTAGGCCTATCTGTCATTGTATAAACAACAAAATCACCCAGAAAAACTAAATATTTTCTTAAACTACACACTTATAATTAAGAAATTATGGAAAATACAAAGTTGGTACAGAATACATATACAATCTTACCAAAAGTGATCCAAACACCATAGCAGCTAGTAGTTCCATGACTCAGATACAAATAAGCCCAACCATTCGCACTCAGGCAGTTGGATCTCTGGATGTACGCAATTTTGCTGTCAAATTAAGCAAGTGATAAATTACACTTAAACACATGTCAGTGGCATGAGCTCTCTTAACTGAATCATGACTTTTGCATTTAGAAGTTATAACTTATAATATTAGTCGTCATCCATGTACGAAAAATAGGTACTCGATATTTGTAGCATTTTAGTGACACAAATTGACTTTGAAGCATAACGCTCACTCTAAATTAAACGGCCGAGAGCCTTAAAACTTGGCCCTGTAAAACTACTTAATATTATTACACATGGTTTTATACTTTTCTCTGAATCCTCTCACATGTAACCCCGAATAAATGTATATTCTTAGGCATAAAAAATACAATCACTGGAATCTAAAATACTAATTAGGGCCTAATTGAAAATTTAAAATATTATAAAAATGAAATCCTCTTTGCAATTTTCAAGAAAAGAACGCTTGAAATATTAATAACTATTGGAAAATATAACTAATTTGAATTCTACAAAAATCTCTAGTTTGAATTAACTTTAAGAAATGCAAGTTAGGATATCGAGTGGTAAAAGTTACGGCAAGAAAGCGTTCACCGTAATTTTCTTTTAAATTATCAAAATGGCGGCCATTTAAAATCTTGAACTTAAATTACTTAAATGGCTGGTAGGGCCTATTATGGAAAAATGACAAGAACACTTTTATTTAGAATGTTTATTCCCTATCAAACGGTACCAAGTTCAAAAAGATCGAATAAAGAATACATAGCTAAAATATAACAATCTTTAGTTGTAAAATGGGGTAGAATAAGGCAAAGCTACAGGTAGTCAGGTTTACCTCATTTTACAACTAAAAATCATGATATTTCATTTCTTCTTTATTTGATCTTTTGAAACTTGGTGTCATTTGATACGGAATACAACAAATGCTAAATAAAAGTGTTCTCGTTATTTTTTCATAAGAACAAGCCATACTTTAGTAATTTCAGTTTAAAGATTTTAAATGGCCTCCATTTTGTTAATTTAAAAGAAAATTACTTAATATTTTTAAAACGTTTTTATTAACTCGCTTTCTTGTCCGGTACAAATTTTGCAATCAATTTTATACTAACTTCCCGATGAGCTAGAGACTTGAAACTTGAAACATAGCTCACAAATGGAAAAAAATGCAATATTATATAATTTAATTTTCAAATTTCCCTTGGGCTACGCCCCATGGGCTTGTTTTATTAATTCGCTTTCTTGCAAATTTTTATACTTCCCGATGAGCTAGAGACTTGAAACTTGAAACATAGCTCACAAATGGATGACCATGCCATATTATATAATTTAATTTTCATATTTCCCTTGGGCTACGCCCCATGGCTTGTTTTTATTAGCTCGCTTTCCTAAAAATGTTGATATCAATTCTAAACGAAGTTCCCGATGAGATAGAGACTTGAAATTTGAAATATAGCTCACAAATGGATGACAATGCAATGTTATATAATTCAATTTTCATATTTCCCTTGGGCTACGCCCCATGCGCATCGATATTTTCAATGTTTACATTTTGATAAAATGTAAATATATCAATTAATTTAAGTCAGATGTAAATACTTAAATTTGACAGTTTGAAGAGCAGAGGTTAAGAGGTACAGGTTATGCTCCCAAGAGATTCTTTATACAAACAAACATTTCAAAATAAATATAAACAATCTAATTGTAGATATAAAGGTGTTTGTTATTAATGTCAATTGTTATTTATTTAGTATTCTATAAAGTAAACAATACATTAAATAGATTGATATATTTATAGTTAGTAGGTAGGCCATACATTCAATCTAATACATAATTATATGAAAAGAAACTCAAATAAACCTTAGATTTCCCACATGCCTCTAATTGTCTTAATCTGATATAGATGCTTGAAATAGTTTTAACATCCACACACATTAAAAACTAAAAAGTAGAAAATAATTTATAAATAAAAAGGGTTTTTAAAACAAAACGTTTTTAAACGCACTAAAAAGTAGAAAATAATGTATAAATATGTGGAGATTATAAATACTTGCAAGATTTAAAACTAAAAACGTGGGGTGCATGCAATTGATAATAATACATTAGTTTAATAGGTGAAGGTTATTGTAAATTATCTATTGCATGCACCCCACGTTTTTCGTTTTAAATCTTACAAGTATTTATAATCTCCACATATTTATAAATTATTTTCTACTTTTTAGTGCGTTTAAAAACGTTTTGTTTTAAAAACCCTTTTTATTTATAAATTATTTTTATTGCCTCTTGACACAATAAATGTATGGAAAGTAAATAAAAGAATTGTCTTATAACACTTAAAACATATATTTACTCTTATACTGTTACTCACAAGACTATGGTCACCATGGGGTTTTCCAATTTGATACCCTAAAAACATAATATTTTGACATTTCTTTCCCACCTTTTTGTAGAGCTTAAAAAAATAATAAAGTATATTGAAGCATTGTTCCATGCTCATTTGTTACGTAGAAAATTCAAAAAATTGTAAATTTAAAATTCACATTTTTATTCTTATGGAGAAAATGAAAACTGTTGTAGTTTACTTGTTTATGGATACATGTTGATAAAATTTGGCAAATGTATTTATTTCAGCCTATACTATTGACGTATGGTCAAAACACACTTTTTCCATCAACGTAGCAGCAAACCTAAGTACTCATTAAATCTAATGTTATTTAAATTGGGAAATATATCTTATTTATGGAAATATTTTTGAAAACATGTAATCAGACAAGTTGAAATTCTCTTAGTCTGCAGGTTTGCTGTGGTGGGGGTATTTTAAATTAGGTTTCGTAAATCGTCAGGACATAATTTATGAAATATTCTTTTAAACATAAGTTAGTTCTTACAGCATTAACAAAGTAGATATGAATAAGCTAAACCATTGCATGTCTTCTGGCAATATGTTTTAAACATAGAACACAAATCTTAAAATTATATATAGTCTAAAATTATATTAATACAATTTTAGACAACATCAGACACTCAAATTATGCTAACACGATACACTCATCAAACAGGCTTCCAACTTAGAGAACATCATTGCACTTTTTAAATCCAATGGCACAAACGTGTGTTTCTAATAGCCCAAGATAAAGATTGGTTTTACAATGTGCTAATTAGTTGCCTCAATATAGGCTTGGTTAGCATTAGTAGTTTATGTAAGCGGCTAGTAAATCAGCGTAGTCTTGATCGAGATTTTTAATAAGTATTTTTTGCTAATTAGTAAGCTGATCTTTTAACCAGTAAGAAAGTTACACAAATCTCTCACAACCCACCCATTTTAAATTTATATTTTCGTTTGAATATGCGTTAGGTAGGCCTATATACTCTATGTAAAAAATTTGTAGTTGTTTATGTTTCGAACTCTACCAGAAAATAATTTATGGTTGTACTCGAACGAGGATACTACAGTAAAATGTTCACCAATAAGAAGGAAGGTCCAGTAATCAGTGGTTCTCAATGATTTAGCTGACTTATCACTTCACATCAAGCTTGGACTCTGGACCTCGGTAAACCTAGAGTGGTCGATGTTTCAAAGTTAGCAGACTCAAGCAATCGTCAAGATTAAACCGTTACAGCTTCGGTGTTTGAGGTTGACCCACATGTTTATTGGAGGGTGTTTTGCATAAAATAAAAATTGAAATAGTTCAAATACTCTGCTACACTAATGCTGAGGTGTTATGGTCTGAAATAATTTCTAGATTATATTATATGAAAATATTTTAAAATGACAAAAACATTTATTTATCAAGTTTTTTCGATTGGTGCACAACTGAATTCTTTCCATATGATATATACACTGCCAAAATTCATAGTTTGATGTTCATGTTTGTTACAGGACGTTTCTTACTGGAAGTCATTGAACTTCACTGTAATAAAATAAACAAAATACTGTAAGTTTTGGAAAGGCTCTCTTCAATTTTCATCATGAACTCAACTCAGTGAACTCATGAACTCAGTCCTATGTTTAGTGAAAACAATTTTATACCTGTAGGTATTGGTTCTTTAAAAAAATTGCTTTATCTTTTTCGCTGGTTTTCGGCATACCAGTTTTATTTCAATTTAATTTCCCTGATATAACCAATTAACTAGTGTATAAATAATTTTATAATTACGTAGTAATAAACGCCAAGGTACCTCAAGGCGTTCTTGAAATATTTATTTACATTTTTAATTTTTAATGGAGATTTTCCATAAAAACCCATAAAATGATAGAAAAACCAGAATTTCACCAAAATGGCTTGAACGATGTTAATTAAAATATGATATGTTTCTCTGAACTCCAAAATGTCAGCTTATTCATTGACAACTTCTATTTTTAGACCTTCCTTTTCACTGGTAAACATTTGAGGGAAACTACATAGTTCTTAAACTTGATTATAAGTTACTATGTTTATGGATTACTTAAAGTCAACAACTTTCAAAACTAAGAAATAGTATTTAGTTTTCAGATTATTATTAGAAAATAATTCATTTTAATTTAATACCAGTATAAATGATTAACATTAGTGGTTTGATAGAAATATTCAGCTACATTGGAAGAAGTGGTTTCTGTCGATAAATCAAGAGCAAGAGCTCGTTTAATCTAGGGAAAACTCCACCGTAAATACTGTTTATCCCCGGCCATACATAACCCCTCCAATTCAATTGTTTTAGACTTTTAGACTGTTATTCACTTCGTTCTCCATCAAACGTTACATAGTAAGTTTTGTACCAAAGTTGGGATTAATTAAGCAGTAATATTCAACAATGTAAACCATTGTATCGTACTAATTATATTGTAAAAGATTTTAAAAGTTTGTATCTAAGAAATCTATGCAACCTTAATTTATTTATACCGTATTATTTGTACCCCAATAATAAGGACTTTGCTTGATCTAAACATCCATCAATTGCCATTGCTTACGTGCTTTTGTTTATTTGTTCTTAGATTATTCTGCTTGTAAAATTACAAGACCCATTGCATGTATGTATATGTTTATTGATCGAACTTGATTTTAGAGGAAAGTTAACGTGCTGGCGTAGTAAGTAGTTAAAAAATATAGCTATTATGATAAATAAAAATTAGCTACATTTTGCTTATTATCATAATAAGCAAAGGAAAGGTTACTGTTTTTTTTTTACTTTTAAGTAGTTAGTAGTTAATATGTTGCTAGTGTTTGTGTTTTTTATGTGTACAAATATGCATTTACTTATGTTCTATATGAGAGGACTAAGGTGTAAATCCATGTTTACCACTTACGTTTGTTACAGTGTTAAATTAACTGTTGAGTTTAGAGTGAGCGGTTTGCCTAAAGTCAAATTATTTTAAAATGTTTCCCATGGTCCGATCATGCTAGTTCGCGAACTCGTTCGAATAAATGTAGGTTTTCACGTTTATACAAAATGTCATCAAAATCGCATAATTTTTGTTCGAGTTATCATGTGAATTTGAACGGATGGTGTTTTTGGCCTCTGGAGACCTCAAAACGAAAAATGTAAATCGGTCCCGGGTCCAGGTCTTACATTGAGACCTACGGTAATAGCTTATTCCCTGTATAGGAAATTCACTAAAAGGGAAACAAATTGAAAGAAAAAAACTAGATGTCTTATTACACCACACCAAATGAATCTATCAAAGCGTATAATAGGAACAAGCTAAGAAGCACTAATGTACCTTTACCGTATATTACCGCCAATAAAAATAACATGACTGATAACGCGACATCAGATGACTGCCAAGGAATAACAACACCGCTTTATATAAAAAAATTGTCGTGTGATATTTCGGAACTATCTTTGGACCTCTTCGGGCCTTGGCAGCATACACTGAAACTTGCATCATATACAAATTTAACTACAGTGAAAATTACCTTGAAGAATTCCTTATTTGCATTTTAGTGCAATTGAAAAATGCATTGGACCTACATCGTATAACGAGATTACCTATTCTTTTTAAGTAACTGATCCTTTTAAATCGAATGGAGTAAAACTTTCTTGAAGACAATCCCTATTAAATCTTGCCTCTGCGATTTCAGTACATCTCAGACAAGCACTTAGTTGTGGTGAATATGAGAAAATAAAATTTAAATGGCTTGCTAGTTGAGCAATTTTTGATAGGGAGAGTTACAAGCATGAACAAAAACAGTAAATGGACATCAGGTATTGAAGTATAATGAAGTATTGTATTGATACAAGTTTTCTTAACTTGATATGTTATATTCTATTAGCGAATTAAATTTTTTAATTCAAATTTCAATTCAAAAATTATTTATTTATGTTTTGTTTGCTCCACTCAATTAGCTGACCTGATGCTGCATACCTGAACCCAGTAATATGTTTGACTTCTACCCTGGTAACAGATTTGTTTCAATACAAGAGTGCAATCTGTACAGTTTGTAAGCAGACTAGTCATTCTGTTCCTTTCTACTGTCTATTTGCTACGTCCGTAGTGTTAACAGCCGTCATGGTTGTTTTATTTACTTAGGTCTAGCCTACTGCTTCTTTGGCCGATATTGTATAAAATACCTTTTAAAGAAGAACAAAAAAACATGTCATTAAATCAGATTACAAAAGATACGTAAAATATTTTGAAAAAAATGTTTGTTGAACGTAATACGATCCACTTCGGGTATGTAATTTATTGTACTGTAAAACTAGTGAAATTGATATTACAATGAAGAGGGGAAATGGTCAAGAGTTGTGCAGTTCTCAAACAAGACTCAATTCCGTGGAGACATCCCTTGTAAATGGCTCCATAGAGCCCCAGGTCTAACATATACCACCCTTTAGTTAGTTATGCCATTGTTAGCTACAATTAGTGGCTAGGATTGTACATGCTTCTCTAATTGAATGAGGGTTAAATAAAGTTATTTGAGTAGGGAAACTGTATTACATACCACATGTATCCAACATTAAGTAATGGCAATTTAATGTGCTGAGGTTAAGATTGCTGTAAAACTATTTTTAGTTTCTTCATATAAATAATTACGGAGATAACCCTAAATGCAAGCTTTATTTATAGGTTTGAAACAATTCAAAGAATAACAAATTTATGGATTTCCGGTTAAAAATTGATATGTTTCAGGGACAAACTCTGACTTTATTCATCAACACATTTAAGTAATTAAGCAGCACTTTGTGGTTTATTTAGCAATTTAACCAAGCCTATTACAATATTCCCCTATCCCATTAACACGAACAATTTAGTTATCTATAGAATTATTTTCTAAAAGGACCTACATTTTTATTCCATCATTTACATGTTAGGACTCTGGGTTCTAGTCAGAAATCGTTTGATATATCGCTCCAGGATTGGCCTGGCCTAGAGATTCGTGGCACTATCACACAGCTAAAATCCGTTGGCGATTTGACAAACTTGTAGCCCAGGACGAAGGGCTGAGGCTCCCCACCCTACTAAAGAACCAGCTCGCTCAGCACACGAAGAAATAACCTAATCTAACACCAATCCAGCCGTCAATCGCTAATTATTTTGGACGCACTTCTCACACAAAGATCTGCCACAGAAATTTGTTCTTTTATAATCCTAAATATTCCCCTAAAAACCAAAACGATGTTTTAGTTCACAGTCAAATTAGGTGACTTTGAACACTTGAGTTTATTGAAGTTTATCAGTTGAATAAATTGGGATTAGAATGAATCTATTTTGATATAGCCATTGACAATAACTCAGAATAATAATAAAAAATATTTTAAGTCAAATATAGCACACTCAAAGATGCTGTCATAACCTTGGTTGTAGAGGACATACTACAGCTAAAACATGGTGTAGTACGTGAGAGTTACTCGTTGTAGCAGATAATAGAAATGTCGTAACCAGAAGTGACTTGTGACTTGTCAACATGCTCGAGTGACGATGCTGTCATAAGCTTGGTTGTAGAGGACATACTACAGCTAAAACATGGTGTAGTACGTGAGAGTTACTCGTTGTAGCAGATAATAGAAATTTCGTAACCAGAAGTGACCTGTGACTTGTCAACATGCTCGAGGTACGATGCTGTCATAAGCTTGGTTGTAGAGGACATACAAGTACTACAGCTACGACATGGTGTAGTACGTGAGAGTTACACGTTGTAGCAGATAATAGAAAGGTCGTAACCAGAAGTGAACTGTGACTTGTCAACATGCTCGAGTGACGATGCTGCCATAAGCTTGGTTGTAGAGGACATACAAGTACTTGTTTTGTAATATGATTTCTATTGTACTGTCAAATATTTCTTCAGCTGTTTTATTTAAGACTGTTTTGTTTATGCATATAATGTTTACAGTTTTGTGCAATTCTCTCATGTAAAATGTAGCTGATTATTAAGTTGAATAAAACCATATCAATTTGGTTTCTAAACATTTCTTTTCATAACAATTTATTCAACTTAATCTTTTAACTATATTATTACAAGTTTTTCTATTCAAGTTTATTCCGAGAAATCTAAATGGATAAATTCTTCAAGCCGGAGTGCCTATCTTTGGACCCTAATGATTCCCATTCTGATCGACAGTGGAAACATTGGAAAACCACTTTCAAGAATTTCATGGAAGAAATATGTGCTGCAGAAGATGATCTACTAAAACTTCTAACTAATTTTGTGGACTACAACATATATGAAATAATCTCAGAGGCTGATTCTTATACTGAAGCTATATCTATTCTTGACAAACTTTTTATAAAGCCTACTAATGAGGTATATTCACGTCATCAATTGGCAACTAGAAGACAGGAACCTGGAGAAAGTATTGATCAGTATCTTCGAAAACTCAAAGAACTTAGTAAAGCATGCAACTTTAAATCTGTCACTGCTAATGAAAATCGCAACGAGTACATAAGAGACGCTTTCATTCGAGGATTAATATCACAGTCCATTCGACAAAGACTTCTTGAAAATCTAACTTTGACTCTTGAAGAAGCTTATAATCAAACCATTACCTTGGAATCAGCTGAAAATCAGGCGGTTTCATATATTTCAAGCCCTTGTAACTCTATATCTCAGTCAACTCCTAAAAATGTTGATGTTACTGATACAAATGTTTCTCAGGCAGCTTCTGATTCGTCTTCACACCAATTATCCTCGATAAGAAGAGAAAAATGTTTCTTTTGTGGACGGTCACGACACTCTCGAGCCAACTGTCCTGCCAAAGACTCAGTTTGTAATGTTTGTGACAAGAAAGGCCATTGGGCAACAGTTTGCAATTCTCGCAACCAAAGTAGGACATTTAAGGGTAAAACAACTCAAAGTGAAAAGACAGAAATAAACTCAATGTCTTCCTCTCTTGTTGCTGCCTCACAAAAATGTCTTTCAAAAGCTACAGTGTCACTGATGTTAAATGGCAAACCAGTAGATGCACTCATTGATACTGGGAGTTCCGACAGTTTTATATCCGAAGCTACTGTGAAAAGATTCAATATTTCTAAATACCCAACAAAGCATGAAATATCGATGGCATCAACAAGCCATGTTTCATCAACTCTTGGCCACTGTATTGTTCACATGGTGTACGATGGCCACGAATACCCACAGACAAAGCTGCTCGTCTTAACTGATTTATGTGCCGATGTTGTAATTGGACATGACATCCTTCGGCAACATTCTGCTGTGGAGCTGAATTTCGGGGGTAAACGCCCACCCTTCAACGTTTGCAATCTACTTAGGGCTAAAGTATCACCACCACCACTGTTTGATAATCTAACTAATGACGTCAAGCCTGTAGCCATCAAGTCCCGCCGCTACTCTGAAGATGATAGTAAGTTCATAAAAAGTGAAGTAAGTAGGCTTATATCAGAAGGAATAATTGAACCGAGTAAATCACCTTGGAGAGCCCAAGTGATTGTGGTCAACAATGGGCACAAGAGACGTCTGTGTATTGACTACTCTAAAACCATCAACAAATTCACACAGCTTGATGCCTACCCTCTACCTCACATTGAATCATTTGTCTCTAAGCTTGCTCAATATAAAGTGTTCAGTACAATCGATCTGAAGGAGGCATATCACCAAATACCTATTCGGAATGAAGATAAACCATTCACTGCCTTTGAAGCTAATGGGAGACTTTACCAATACACTCGAATTCCTTTCGGCGTAGCTAATGGTGTGGCGTGTTTTCAAAGAACTATTGACCAGATTATAGAAACTGAAAATCTACTAGACACGTTTGCTTATCTGGACGATGTAACTATTTGTGGTCGTAGCCAAGCAGAACACGATCAAAACCTACAGAGATTCATGGAAGCAACTAAAAAGTATAATCTTACCCTGAACAAAGAAAAATCTAAGTTTTCGTTGACCAGCATTCCAGTTCTGGGTTACATTGTAGAAAACATGTCCATGCGTCCTGATCCTGACCGCTTGCAATCACTCTTGAATTTCCCTGTTCCAACTGATAATGCAAGCCTTAAAAGAGCTCTTGGCATGTTGTCCTATTACGCAAAGTGGATTCCTAAATTCTCTGAGAAGGCCTTACTACAGTCAAATCATTCCCAGTAGGCAGTAAAGAAATATTGGCTTTTAAGACATTGAAAGAAGAAATAGCGAACTCCAGTATGTCTGCAGTTGAAGAGAATATTCCATTTACTGTAGAAACAGATGCATCTGAATCAGCTTTAGCGGCTACTCTTTCACAAGCTGGAAGGCCAATATGTTTCTTTTCAAGAACCCTAACTAAGAGTGAACAACATCTACCTGCTGTGGAAAAAGAGGCCCTCGCAATATTCGATTCAATACAGAAATGGAGGCATTTCCTGATTGGAAGACGGTTTAAATTAATTACAGACCAAAAATCTGTGTCCTATATGTTCAATCAGAAACACGCGGGAAAGGTTAAGAACAAGATTTTAAAGTGGCGATTGGAACTAGCACCTTTCTCTTACGACATAGTGTACCGTTCTGGCAAGGAAAATGTAGTAGCAGATGCATTTTCACGAGTTTCATCTTCCATCTCTTGTAGAGATTTCGAAAAACTCCGTAGAATTCATTGTGACATTGGACATCCAGGAATAGTACGGATGGTTCATTTCATAAAAAGTAAAAATCTCCCTTACTCTATCGAAGATGTCAGGCGAATGACCGCTTTATGCTCTGTTTGTGCGGAAGTGAAACCTCGGTTCTACCAAAAAACCCCATCAACACTCATCCATGCAATGGCTCCTTTCGAGAGACTTAACATTGATTTTAAGGGGCCAATACCATCAAGGAACAACACAAGGAATAAATATATACTGACGGTTGTTGATGAGTATTCAAGATATCCGTTTGCTATTCCTTGCTCGGACACATCAGCATCTTCTGTCATCAAAGCACTTACATCAATCTTCACCATCTTTGGTATGCCTGCTTTTGTCCACTCCGACCAAGGTTCTGCTTTCATGTCAAAAGAACTGAGTGATTTCTTACACTCTAAAGGAATCGCCACTAGCCGATCTTCACCTTATAACCCTCGAGGTAATTCTCAAGCTGAGCGATATAATGGAACGATTTGGAAGACTGTATCTCTTGTTCTGAGAAACAAGGGACTGAAGACAGAACAGTGGGAGTATGTTTTGCCAGAAGCTTTGCATTGTATACGCTCGTTACTATGTACAGCTACGAATGAGACCCCACATGAACGTCTTTTCAAACACCAGAGACGATCATTTTATGGCACCTCTCAACCTCAATGGCTCATGAATCCAGGACCAGTATTAGTGAGAAGGCATGGAAGAAATAACAAATATGAACCTTTAGTGGAACAAGCTAGGCTGATAGAGGCTAATCCAGACTATGCTCGCATCAAGTATAGAGATGGTAGAGAGGCTCTGGTATCGGTGCGACATCTCGCTGTTCCCCCTGAAGCTATCCAACAAGAGGATGAGCCAGTGACTTCAGAAAATCCCAGTCAAGAACTAGATCCTGTTCTTCAAGACCTGAGACGTGAATCAAACCTGCTTCATCAACCTGAAATTGGGAACTCTATTCAATCTGAAAACGAAACATCCCCTCTGCATGAGACCGTGACCCCTACTTCTGTGAGGTATTACGAAGAAACAAACCTGCGTCGTTCCACCAGAGTCCGAAGACCTCCCACCTATCTAAGGGATTACATTTAAAAAAAAGATGGGGTGAATGGGAGCCTACCAGTAGACCGACAAGATACTTGGTCGTCTGGCCACTAGACCGTCTTTTTTAATTATATAGATAAATACTGAAAACCAGTACGTCGACAAGTTATTTCATCGTCATTCCAGTTGACCGGCCTGTAAAACTAAATTATTATATACGAGAAACCAACTTGTCGTCAATCGACCCGACCGACTTACCACTTGCTCGTCTTTTAGGTGGGGATTGGGGGCAGAGTGGGAGGAGCTAACCGGGGATTACCCAGGAGTTTGAGGCGCTTCTCATGGTTGAACCACCTCGCTCGAGGCTAGAAGCCAGTATTGCCAACTGAAAGTACTATAGCTCCGTCGAACACTACACACGCGGCGTGTTTATTGTACAGTCTGGCGTTAAGTTGACGTTGGCGCGCAATTCTAATAGATAGTTTCGTCGTTTCTATAGCAACCGTGCCGTGACCTTGTCCTTGGTCTCGCGCATTCCTCTGCCTTTGTATTATTTAATCTGCATCGAAAGATAAGACTCGCTTATATGCATTGACTATTGAGTCAAATAACAATTTCATTCGGGGTTTTTGATCGTTTGTTTGGATAAAACTACGTACCGTATATTGTTGAATCATATGTTGAATTATACCTGTGTATAATTATGGGTATCATGGAGGTCAATTTACCTCGTGTATATCAACAAAGTTTAATATCTTAAATTAATCCGAACGATTCATAGTAGCCAACAGGCACAAAGTAGTGTATTATGCAAGATGTAAATTTCAAACATGTGTAAGAGTAAAGTAAGAAATATTCGCAAGTTCCCAAGTAGCATAACAATGTTTTTTCAATGTTGTTGTCAACATTTAATCAACATTAATTTAATATTGCCCCAATATTGATCAACGTGGTAACAATATTGTTACAACGTTTTCGTGAAACAAAATACATTGTCTTGACAATGTTGTCTTAATATTTTTCAACGTTGTTTCAATGTTGTTTTCAACATTGAAACAACATTCATTCAATATTGCCCAAATATTGATCAACGTGGTAACAATATTGTTATAACGTTTTCGTGAAACAAAATACATTGTCTTGACAATGTTGTCTTAATAGTTTTCAACGTTGTTTCAATGTTGTTTTCAACATTTAAACAACATTCATTCAATATTGCCCAAATATTGATCTATGTGGTAACAATATTGTTACAACGTTTTCGTGAAACAAAATACATTGTCTTGACAATGTTGTCTTAGTATTTTTCAACGTTGTTTCAATGTTATATGGAAATATTAAGCCAATATTAAGACAATTTTGAAAAAATGTAGAAATAATCAATTAAAAATATTATGTTAACATTAACAGTATTTTGATTATTGTTTTACAACATTGTTTAAGTATTTTTGTATCAGCTGTATTATCCTGTCAATATTAAGCTAATATTTTAAAAAATTTACAAAATAATTGTTAAACAATCTAAGTATTCAAAATACTTCGGCCTGCATAAATGCATAGCAAAAATGTCAAAACAAAAAAACTCATTTTAGGTAATACTCTATTGACTGACAAAACAATTATTAATATATTATTTTATTCTTGAATAACAGTAGGCTATGCTATTTCATAAAATCCGCAAAAAGTGTTTCTGTGGAATATTGTTGACATAAGTTATGTATATTTATTTGAAGAAAAAGGTAAAAAATAACGTCACAATTTAAAAATATATTGTTTATTCTTTCACAAAGCCCAAAATATACATTTTTTATAGAAGGTCAAATCACAAAGACCAAAAAACCAAGCGAAAAAAATATTCTTATAATATATCAAATCTATAAACAAAAGTAAATCACTTTCAAGATTTAAAAATTAATAACTGTAGGCTCAATGTATAGGCCTAGTGATTGTTGAAAAGTGTTTATATCTTCGCTGACATCTCCATAGGCCCGATTCTCTTCGACTGTAGCGGCATCCTTCCCTTTCCTAAAAAAAAAAAATGTTTGTGTCAAGTTTATTTTGCATGGGAATTGGGAGTATCTGAAGGTATAGAACAACAACAGCTGCTATTTCATGTTGTTGAGGGTTGGATAGAGCTTATGAAGTACATCAGGCATGTTTGATCTATGTTCCACGCTCTCACGGCCGCACAATTTTTATTTCAGCTAGGCTAATACTGCGGTTTCATTGTGGACGAAATGAGAGTAAAAAAAATGAAAAAAATATAAAACCTAACCGTCATAAACTAACATAGGCCTAACTAACCAAACTTGCTAATAATATAAAAAGAGATATAAGATAAAAATCTAATGAAGGTTTACTACCTACTCGAAAAAAATTGTTCTGTTCATAAAATAAAATTATAAATGCCTCAATTTCTGACAAAAAATGAAGTTGGCTAATCACATTCTAAGCAAAATCTTTAACAAAAAGTTAGCTTCACCGGAGGGATTCAAACTGGATAACTCTTAGAAATCGTTTGACTACTCTATCCACTACACAACATCGATAGTTGAACTACGTATCGTTGCGCTAATGGTGTTATCTCAAGAGAAGAGAGTGACGTCAGACCATGACAGCCAATAGAGTGTTCTCATTTCGTCCGTATTGAAAACCGCAGCTGAAATAAAAATTGTGCCTCATGGCCCACTTTAAAATAACTATTTTAAGGTTAAACGTAGCCTTGGAGATTGTTAATGGTTTGCAAGGTCTGTAATTTAAATACTCCCTTTTCCACTATTTTCTCCATTGTCAAAAAATTTTGCATATTACCATTGACTAAATTGTTGAATAGGGCCTACTTGTATTAACAGCCAAATATAATACAAGACCTATATTAACCTATATTATGTATGAAAGGCATGTATTTAAAAATTTAGTTAGGCAGAGATAGAGTCAGAAGAGAGTATAAAGGCTTATTTATTTACTCTTATACAAGCTTCAAAACATCTAGAAATATTTTAATATTGCTATTTATTGCCTTATTTTTAGTTAATGAAAACAAAAACTCAACATAAACTATGCGGTAGGCTGTTGTAAAATTAGTCATTCGAGGAACGATTTCCTAAACATACAACAAAACCAAAAGCTATTTTTTGCCATTATATCAAACCGTATATAGGCCTACCAATATATTTTTTAAACCGGTAGTCAATATATTTTTTGGCTACTGTAATTCAAACATTAGGTGTCAGAATCTAACTTAATTTTTTTTTTTTAAGTGAAATGATCAAATTTGTTTAATCTTTTTAAGAGGGTGAGCAAATTTTCGTACAAAAACCGCCATTAACTATCGGTTCAATAACGAAATACTAAGTATTTATATTATTTCGGACCAAATAGGTTCAATTCAATCGATTAATGGTTGAATGAATACATATAATAAACACTGTTACCGTACTGCGACGGTACAAAGTGCTGCCATCGGTGTTCGAGGTGAAGTGGATAGTGTTCGGCTCATAATCAAATATACTTATCAGATCGAATCCCACCGGTGACACTAACATTTTGTCAAAGATTTTGCTTAGAATGAGATTACTTCTTAGATGTACATCTTTTTTTAGAATCTGAGGCATTTAAGTTATAATTTTATTTTATGAACAGAACAATTTTTTCGATAGTAAACCTTCAATTGATTTTTTCATTAACAGCATGTTTGGTTAGTTAGGGCAGGTTATGACAGTTTGCGAAATCACACGGCGTTTTTTTTGTACAAGAAAAGTGCTCACCTTTTATGATAGCCTACCTAGTTTTTACCATCTGGTTAGCCGACTTTACTAATCGATCTTGGCTGAGATTACCTACAACGTAGCCTCATCAGACACAACACTCCCTATGATTATAAATACATGTTTTTTGATTTGATTAATCTAGTCAAACGATAGGCCTAGCCATACAATATGATATAAAGCAATTATTAATATTTAGACAATTACATTCTATTGATACTGTCATGAAAGCTTGAAAAGCAAAAGTCAGTCTTACAACAGTAAAATATGATACATTAAAGCAAAATAAGTTAATAAGTTCATTGTACTAAAAACCAAATAAGAGTACTGATAGCTATATTTTAGAAAAACATCATGCAAGATTAATAGAGCTAAAGTCCGCTTTGAAAAATCTTTAAGTCTGTAAAAGGGCCTTACAATACAATCAACCATGCATACATCACATTCTTAAAACTATCTAGGCTAACATGCTGAGCTGACAGAGGAAATCAATTGAAAAGGTCAATTACCTGTAGTTTCAAAGGATGTTAGAAACTTGGTCAGTCTTGTGTAGAGTCTACTGATTTTATTTTGACCTCGTGCCCCGTGGTTTTATACGTGCCTGCGTGCCTGTGAAGAATGACAGTGTTTAAGTTAAGGGATTTTTGTATTTATGTAGCTTAAGACACCTGCAAAAATGTACAGGTTGATTACTGTTTGAATTAAGCTTCAATTACTGCGCCATATTCATAAGCAGTGGACTAAGTTAAAACAAACAAATAAGTATAACCTATATAAAGTACAGCAAACCTTGATCGGAACAGAACAAGTTAGGCCTACCAACAAATTAATGTAGGTAGGTAAGTTAGTTAGGAGTACTTTCCTGTTAGAGAGAACATTCATTATTATTGATGATTTTTCGATCTTAGTTTTGACTAACGAAAACAAAAACTCAACATAAACAATGCGGTAGGCTATTATAATATAATATTAAAGAGTAATTTAATGGTACCTATTAACTAAAATAACACAACCCAACTACACTAATGTAAAGTGATGATGTTAACGACTGATATTTTAGTTTAAAATATCTTTTTAGTCTAACTTATAACTATTAGGCTACTGTAGTTGTAATGGTAAGTTAGTGGTTGAAATTAACGTAGTAACTTAACTTAAGGTAGAGCCTATCGTAAAATCAATTTAGGCCCTAGCATAAAAGTTATTTTAGGTTTTAAATAACATATTGTTATTCTGCCTCGTGCCTGTGAAGAATGTGTGTTTAAGGCTACTGTAAGTAGTTGT